GTAGGGAAAAATTATGAAGGACTGAAATACAGCTAAAAAATTCCTGATGGTTCCAATGGAAAACCAGGCATTGTCTAGCATACCCCTCCAAGTTATCTGATTCTATGGGGTCTTTACACCCTTCATTGTATTAATGTTTTCTACAAATCTGTAAGTTTTAGAGAACTGAAAGAGATACAAATGATTCTTGTCCACATATATGAAAATGAATTTGGAGGAGGTTCAATTAATTTTCCTCCTCTCTGTGGAAGAAGCTATTTTGGCACAAGTTAAGCAAATCCAAATTCATTGCATCATTCCTGATAGCCTACATATGTGTATTCTTTTTGGAGTCTCCTTTGAACTGGTGGTAACATCTTACTGGTTCCCTCATTAATTAATGAATTAAATAAAATCTTTGACATGTGTCCATTTTAAATATGCATGTGGGTTTATTTTTTCTAAAAAATTATCCTTTAATACTTTCATGAATTGACTGTCTTTAAGCTTCTAGGAGCCCAGCTGAACCTCTTGCCTGAGGTTCAACTGGACATAATAAAGTGAACTACTCTTTTGGAGTGAGGAATAGCAGGGGATGGCTGGGGAACAGCATAGCTGAACTGACCTCTCTATACCTCAGTCAAGAGTTTCAACTGTGTCCATCTCCAATGAACCCAGGAGAACTGAGTTATGATCTGCATGACATTTTTATCTCAGACATTCAGTTTGACTTTCAAGTGAAATCAAAGACTAGGGAAAAAAACCATGAATCCAAAATGAAACAGGCTATTTTTCAGCTTGGCACTGCACCATCTAGTCTAATGTGAAAAAAAATTCATTTTGCCACTGCCTGCTGATTGGCATGAACTCAGCTGTCCTTCAAAGGTTCAGCCTCTCCTGAAAGCAGGTACAGTCGTTGCTGTGAGCCAAAGGGGGAACTGTAGGTGGAATTTTCAAATTCCCCTGAGGGTTGCTTTTTGGGAAAAATTATTAAATGAATGGTCTTAGCATACACTTGAAAGCTACTTTAATTCTGTTTCACTTTCAATGTATGGAAGTAAAGGTAACATTAGAGCAGTGCGCTGATTACTTCCAGTGGGTAAAATACCTGCAATCTTGAGATAAATGTTGCCAGAAAACAGAAACTGATGTGAGACGTTTATCCTGTGCACATTATCAAATTATAATAGAACTTAAAACACATGCCTATGTTTTTGTAGGAGAGAAGAAATATCTTCTCCTTTTAGGCTCTCCATTGGGGATCCTGTAATGAAAGACAGATTATCAAGAGAAAAACAAACAGAAGTTTATCAACATGTATATCTCACATATACATGGGAGAAACTCACAGATGAGTAACTCAAAGAGGTGGCTAGAACTTGGGCCTAAATGCCATCTTCACTTAAAACAAAAGAAGAAGGGTGTGAGGTTGGGGTGTGGGGAGGTAAGTTATGGGAAGGTGACCAGGGAAAGTATGTAAAGAAGCATAAGGTTTGTTATGCGGATTTAAGGCTGTTCCTTCTCTATTGATGAGTTTCTTGTGATTTAGAGTCACCCTTCTTTTCCTGGTACAGAGAGGAAGACACGTTCACAAATGGAAATTTCCTCTACAAATGGAAATTTCCCTTACAAAAAGACAACTTATACCCTGTTTTCAGAACTTCTCCTGTGTCTGCTGTTTCTCAAAATAGTCAATTTTAAATATTGACATTCATGCTAAAGAGGTATATTTTGGGGTCACACATTCTGGTCTCCTACACTTTCTACTATCACCAAACTTGAAGCCACATCCCAGCATTTAGATTAAATGGTTGCTCCATCCAAGGCACCCGTGGCTTCTGTATCACATTCAGATAGTTTTTGCTTATCTTTAGCTCTTAGTTCCATTATTTTAGAATCGCCAGCTGGTTCTGAAGTTGAGAACATTTTTTTCTTCCTCTCCCAGGTCATAAAATTGAAGGACAAGAACATGGGGTCTAATCTAGGTAAATATCTTAACAGAATGATATCCAAAGTATAATTTTCAAAGTGTTTCATAGATTGCAATTCTTATATAAAACCATAATGAGCAGAAATCTAAGTTTTATTAAACTCATTAATGAGGGAGACAGCAGGATGACAAAGTTGGTTCAGAAAAGAATACAGGGAGGACTTCCTGGTGTCTCAGTGGTTAAGAATCTGCCTGCCAATGCAGGGGACAGGTGTTCGATCCCTGGTCCGGGAAGATCCCACATGCCGTGGAGCAACTAAGCCTGTGCACCACAATTAGTGAGCCTGCATGCCACAGCTACTGAGACGGCGTGCCACAACTACTGAAGCCTACACATCTAGAGCCCGTGCTCTGCAACAAGAGAAGCCACCGCAATGAGAAACCCGCACACCAAAACAGAGTAGACCCAGCTTGCCGCACCTAGAGAAAGCCCACACACAGCAACGAAGACCCAACACAGACAAAAATAAATAAATTTATAATAAATAAATAAATAAGGATCATACCATTTCTGGCTTTATAAAAAAAAAAATACAGAGAACTAATGATTATATAATCAATGAAGCAAAGGAAGAATGCTGTGATAAATCACAAAGTTAGATGCAAAATTGGTCATTATCCTACCAGAAATAAGACCAGTCTTTGGGACTAACTTTTCTACGTAAGAAAAATCATTCGTGTTATTATCAGGCAAAAATAATTTTCATTGCACAAAAATTTCTTGCCTAATATTGGGCAAAATCATTTATATCTTACCAGTTTCCAATAAAGGAACATCCAACTTTACAAAGTTGTGAGTTGTCTGGGCCTTAATCAACAGTAAATGGCAAGTCAAACAAGCTTGTATATCCTGTGACTCTAGGGCAGGGGTCAGCAGACTATAGTTGGGCTTAGCTGACCACTTGTTTTTTGTAAATAAAGTTTTGTTGGAACACTGCCACAGCCATTTGTTTCGTATAATACATGGCTGCTTTTGCTGCAGAGTTGAATAGAGACCAGGTTGTGAACACAGTCTAAAATAGTTACTATCTGGCCCTTTACAGAAAACAAACAAACTTGCCAACTTTGACCTAGGAACAGGACATTGTCTAAAAATATAAACAAAGGTGACACAATCTTTTTTCTTTTTCTTCCAAGTTTTGGAGGATATTTTTTCTTGGCAACAATATTAATAAAAAAGCATGAACATGAAATCAGAAAAATCGCTTCAGGGGAAAGTCACATCAGAAGTGATTTAAATCCACGAATATACAATTGAAAATTATACATTTTGCAATAATTATACACTATTCATTTGTACAATGAATTCAGCTTAACAGCACCATAGATTCTCAGAATCTCCTTCAGAATCTATTACACATGTTGAAAACAGAGAAATACCAAATTCTTTATTTCTAAGAGAAAGCTCGTGACCCATTTAAATCCTTAGCATTCCAAATTACTCACTTCCCCTTGATTAGAAAAATCAACCCAGGCGAGGCGGGGCGGGGTGGGGCCGCCAGGTTCCGGCACCCTGGGGGCCAGCGTGTGGGCTGCCAGGAAGGGGGCGGAGCTGGGGGCTAGTCGAAGGGGAGAGGCAGTAGCCGGTGTGGACGTGTTCCTCAAAATACGGCGCCGCAAGACCGTCATCTTCATGGAAGGCAAAGCGTCCAGCACCATGTTTCTGTTGAAGCGCATCGTCGAGGGCGTCCTCAAGCAGCTGCCAGATGAGCAGCGGCTGTACAAGGACCACCGGTTTCTGGACGATGGCAAGATATTGGGTGAGTGTGGCTTCACCAGCCAGACCCAGCCGCGGGTAGGGCTAGCCTTACAGGCAGGTGAAGCATTTGAGAACCTGCCCATCAAGCCTTTCTCCAGCACACCAGAGTTGCCGGATGTGATGAAGCCGCAGGACCCAGGAAGCAGCGCTAATGAACAAGCTGTGCAGTGAGAGGTCCCCCTCAGGGCCTCCCCCGACTCCATAAAAGAGATTGGGTGCCAAAAACAAAGAAAAAAGAAAGAAAAGAAAAATCAACCCAGATTTTGGTATTCAGCTCATCCATATTCTGGTATTTTCCTTCAGGAATTTGCTATGTATAGCAGGCATCAGGGGATCACACTTTCAAAAAGTAGACTTCCCTGGTGGCACAGTGGTTAAGAATCAGCCTGCCAATGCAGGGGATATGGGTTCAATCCCTGGTCTGGGAAGATCCCACGTGCTTCGGAGCAACTAAGCCCATGCGCCACAACTACTGAAGCCCTTGTGCTTAGAGCCCGTGCTCCACAACGAGAAGCCCGCGCACTGCAACAAAGAGTAGCCCCCACTCGAGGCAGCTAGAGAAAGCCCGTGAGCAGCAATGAAGACCCAATGCAGCCAAAAATAAATAATATTTAAAAAAAAAAAAAGAAAAAGTAGCCTGTAGCTTTTCCTTGATAATCTTATATACAAAAGTAGATAAATAAACTTACACAACCAATTGTTGTTTGGAAATGGCATCGGAGCAAGGGTTTTAAGATACCCATCTAGACTAATCCAGTCCATATTGTCACTTTAGAGGTCATACCTCCTACTGTCACTAGACCACAACCAGTGTGAATTACAGACATTTGGGAGATTCTGTAGACTCCCTTTTCCCATAGGCAAACAGGTGCAGGCAAAAAACCCAATTCAAAGAAGTAAATATTGATAAAGTTTTTATCTAGGTTATACACAGGGCTGAGTTTCAGCCAGCACTTACAGTTTGTTAAAATATTATAATATTTAAGTACCAATTGGTAGTTAGCCATGACTATGAGCCCTTTAGGTAATCCTCAAGTTATCCCAGTCATCCCAGCCTCTCTCCCTTGAAGCCCCAGAATCGGCCAACTACCAGAAAGTTAACTCTGAAAGAGTAGAGAACCAAACTTCAGTCAAGAGTCCATGGCGTATGTCCATGCCTCTCTCTCGCTTTGTCACAGCTCACCCTAAACGTAAGGTAGATAGCTAGTGGGAAGCAGCCGCATAGCACAGGTGTATCAGCTCGGTGCTTTGTGACCGCCTGGAAGGGTGGGATAGAAAGGGTGGGAGGGAGGGAGATGCAAGAGGGAAGAGATATGGGAACATATGTATATGTATAACTGATTCACTTTGTTATAAAGCAGAAACTAACCATTGTAAAGCAATTATACCCCAATAAAGATGTTTAAAAAAAAAAGAGAGTCCATGGTGATTGTTAAGTGTCCTCACCATGTTGTGTGCTAAATATTTTTCATTTTACCCCCTACATTACATTTCCCACATTACCAAATTGTTCACAGTCCCTTTTCAATTAAGTTCCTCTAGGCATCCACTAGCAGGTCACAAAATCAAGGCAAATCTCTTTAAAAACAGCAGGGACAAATTACAAAGAAAAACAGGAGGACCAAGCCTAAAATGGAAGCCAATCTTAATACTACATCCCAGGCTCTCTGAATGTGGAAAGATTGTGCAAACTATTCTAAGGAAGGGCTCTAGGCACAATCGAGACAAGACTGAGTATTGAAGAACTGCACAACATAGTCTAGTGGAAGTGACTAGGATATTTATTCACCCATTGGCAGTGGGGGCTCTGGTTGGGAAAACCTGTAGGGCAAGAACAAAGAAAATAGAAAAACAAGACAAGGGAGCTTTGGAAAAAAACAAAAACAAACTCTGATTTTATACTTGTGCTCAATCCAACTTGTGTGCTCAGAAAAACTCATCCATTTTGATTTTAGCTTTCCTCAATTATTGATGCTATACTTCTATACACCGAAAATCAGGTGCTGCTCCTGTCCTACCTGCATCCCCCTACTCCTCTTAGTAATTCAGTGTACCCTGGCCCAACTTTCAACAGCCAGCCTCTGCCTTTCTTTCCCTCATGGTTTTCACTGTCTTCCGGAGCCCCCTCTGCCAGTTAGTGTATAAATGTCCCAGTTCCTTTGATATTCAGGTAGGTCTTTGACCCTGATGTATCCTACACTAGCTTACAGAATTTCCCCAGCAGAATCAAGCTCCAGTCATCCATAATGGTAGCTGGCTCAGTGAGACACATGTCACTGGTTCCTTTTTCTTCCCTGTCTCACTTAGAAAATCCCCAACCTGTGTTTCCTTCACCTACTAAATAATCTTGAAACCTTCCCAATTTACACTCAAATTAGTTCCCAAATTACTCTCAAATCTTTGTCTCAGGGGCTTCCCTGGTGGCGCACTGGTTGAGAATCCGCCTGCCGGTGCAGGGGACGCGGATTCGTGCCCCGGTCCGGGAAGATCCCACATGCCGCGGAGCGGCTGGGCCCGTGAGCCATGGCCGCTGAGCCTGCGCGTCCGGAGCCTGTGCTCCACAACGGGAGAGGCCACAACAGTGAGAGGCCCGCGTAGCAAAAAAAACAAAACAAAACAAAACAAACAAACAAACAAAAAATCTTTGTCTCAGGACCTGTTTTTTAAGAGAACCCAAAATAAAACATGGTAAGTGCTCAAGAATATTCATTCATTCATTGAACCCTTTTGAGTATTTCTTTTTTTTAATAAAATAATTTACAATTTAATAATCATTTCAGGTATAGAAAGCAGTATTAGGAAAACATAACTGATGATTATTTTCATAATTATATGCTTTTTGTTCTTAAATTCATGTCTGTTCAATTAAGTGGCAACAAACTAAAATATGAAATACTAACACTCTTTAAGCCTACTACAAGATTTTTACAAAAGTTGTCACATGAAACATTTGTAAAGAAAATAGGGAGTAAAGAATCTTTATTCTTGCTTAAGAAGCTACTCATAATTGAATACATAAACTGAAATAAATGTTTACTGAGATATTTTTGTATATTCTTGACTATTGAAACTTCAAGAATATCTATATAATACCTGCAAAAATTTCAAAGTGCTTAAAATGGTTTTCACTACAGTGATAAAGGCACTCTTTAATTTAGATATCTATAGTTGGCTATTGAGACATAATCTTTAATTTATCTTGTTTGATAATGTCAGAAAATGAACAGTTTAAACTATGCAACATAAAAACTTGAGTTGAACGAGATCCTAGCATGAGTTCCAGCATAGTCTTTGAAATGATCCAAGTCTGTGAAGTTTTACAAAAGGTCAACCTCAAAACATTTTACTCACATGTCTTAAAACCACAGATATTTAGTATCATTCACTATGATATAAATATAATATTAAACACTTTAATTCTTTGATGTAGTAAAAATGTTTTATCAGGAAAAAAAGAAGAAAGAAAACTGTTCTTCATACCCTGTCAAAGGTTCCCGATTTTGTAACACAACTTTTTTCTGGATGTTTATGTAAGCAACATATACACAGGAATTACAGCTAAATGGCACTAGGTAATTTTGACCTTATACTTTTTTTTAAATCTGTCTTTCCCAAGTTATCCACAATAAGTATATATAAGTTATAATGCTTAGATATCAATTTCTTAAAAATAGGCCCTCTCTTTTCTCAGTTTCAGGTGATACAGGAAATTCTGAGGTTGTTTCAGAAGGAAGAACACAAAGGAGAAAGCAAG